GGAGAGGACGAATGTTCGTTTCATCAGCTTCTGAACCAAGCAAGACGGTTCGTCGAGTCCGAGGACGAAGTACCGGAGGCGGCGAAGAGGTTGTCCGACAGGACGGTTCGACGGCCTTCGCGCCGACCGTGGTTTACGCTGATCTGCCCACGCCGGTAACCAGATCTCTCGCGAGGTTGATAGCGTTCATGGGAAAGATTCCCGGCGTGACGCTGCTGAAACCGAGCGAGTGCACGGTTTCCATCTGCTTCCTTTCGAGCAACGACCACGCCGGATTCGCCGGAAGGGGAGACGCGCGCTACGTGCTTTTGGACGACGACGCCGAAAGCATAAAGTGGACGGACACGGATACGCTCGTCCATTTGGCCGAGAGGATACTGGATCGCAATCTCGGACACGATCCCGGCGCGGTGATAGTGGAAGATGTTCGACGACATTGACGACCCGGCAACCAGTTCCGACAACTTCCTGCTTCTCATAATCATCCTGCTTGCCGACATCGTACCTAACGTCGAAGAACGCGAGCGGGAGAGACGCGAAATCGTCACTTCCGTTTTCTGAATGTCTTTCGAAATGTGGAGGAATCTCGAAGTGCGCGTGCGAAGAAAATGGTCGAGGTGGGCACGAGAGAAGAGGGCGATCCACGCCGACCGCCGTCTAGAAGTATTCGAGGATGGTGAGCAGGAGGATGAAGACGACGAAGACGAAGACGATTCGTTGGAGGAGTTGTCTGTGGATCTGCAACGACGGTTGGAAGCTGCGTGCAGAAGCGGCACAGACGACGACGTCGTTCCCTTCTACGCAAGATGCTTAGTTCTAGCAGAGCACCTTCTGCGAGGGACGGATTCGGTCACGACGGAGTGCTGCACCATGACCGACTTCGACGCCGTGTTCGCGCGACACGTGCTGTTCCCTTAGACGAGCGAGCATTCGACGGTGATATCGAGGCGCCTGTTTGCACTCTGGAGGTTCGTGGTCGTCGTGGGCACCGTACCGGCGTTGCCCATCGGTTGTTGTCCAAACGTCGGATACCGGTGTTTCGTATGCAGGAAGGAGCAGACGGACGAGGAGTGCCACCATCTCGTCACGACGATCGCGAACGAAGGTACGGAAGACGAGGAGGATATCTGCCGCGGTGCGCCTCCAGTATTCCCGCGTCTCGACTCTCGCCATTTGACGAGACCGGAAGTCGCCGAGAAGGACGAGTTCGAGATCGCGAGGCGCGTTGACAGGCGTGCGAGATCGGCCGCCGACAAGCTGAGGGTGGAGATCGAAAAGGAGATAAGGTACGCAGAAGCGTGCGTCCGATACGCCTCCCTTCCAAAGACCGTTAGTCTCGGTTGCATAGCGCACGTCGCGAAGCTCGTCTCGTTCGGAAAGCGCAGACAGCAGTTGGCGGACGAGGAACGAGAGACGTTCGACCACAGGGATCTGGAAATGTGATCCCGAAATCTGCTGGAGCCGATGTTGGCCAATCCGGACAGGCGCGATCAGAGACGGGCCGCGATGCCCTCGTTCTTCCGTTTGGTGGTTGATCCGACCTCGGTGGTGAGGGACGCGTCGACGACGAGACACGGGACCGCCTTCCGAACATGGATGGAAGCGTGCGAAGTGCCCGCCGAGAGCGTTTGCGATTACGTCAACGGACTGAAGGGCGTGACTCTGAAGACGAACGTCGAAGACGACCTGACTGGCCTGTACAAATGTCTACTCACCTGCCACGTGTTCCTAGCCATGCCCGTTTCGGGGGGAGGTGGCTCCTCTCGCATCATCAACAGGTGCGACGTGGACGGTATGCCGGACGCGGACGGTCTCTGCTTTTTGTACGACGACCGTCGCTTTCTGGTCAGGAGAGGGCACCGAACGATGACGTTCGTTTACGAGCGAGCGCTCGAATCGTACGTGGCTTGGATCTACCACGGACCGTTACCGATGTCGTCCTCTACTGTAACGAACGTGCTGACGTGCTGACGACGATCGACATGAGATCGGCGAACAGGAGGGCGAGACGCGCCGACATCTGCGACACGACCAGGTTTTGGATCCTGTAGTCGAGTCCGATCATGACGGTCACTCGAACTAGCACCTCGGTCGCGAAGAGCAGCTTGCCCTGTCCGTCGTAATATCGGTTCAGAAATATGCCGATGGTATATCTTAGATTGCAGTAAAAGGTTATCGCGAAAAGTACAAGATTCGCAGAAAGCAGATCTCGATACTTTCTTATCTGCTTGTCGTACGTATCCCCCTGCCAGTCGTACCGATCGAACAGACCATAGAGAACGAACAGGAAGATTAGGAGCGCCGCGATGAGCGGAGCGAACTTCTTCATCCTTTAACGAATGCTTACAAAAACCGACACCCGAGAGTTCGATCGATGATACGCAAACATGTTCGGGAAAAAAAGAGACGATCGTTTCGAGTACAAGAGAGTGGAATCGATGCGCCACGTGGCTTCCATGGAACAGAGGTTCGAGGAGAAGGCCGCGGCCGCTCGACGGAGCGTGGAAGCCGGGGTGAAGAACGGTGCCGGACCCCGAAAGTTGGCGTCCTTCTTCAGACGCGCGTCGGATTACGAGCGTCTGCAATCGACTTCCCAGAAGGCGATTTACGATCTAGAGAAGGACGCCCTGTCTTCGGAAATGCGAAACATAGACGGTCTGCAGTACGAAAGGTTGAAACGAGAAGATCACGAACTTGGAAAATTCGAGAGGCTCACCAATCCCCGCAAACTATGCAGACGTATAGCGGCCGTGAAGGTCAGGAGGGACCGTCGCAAAGTGGGAGTGGAATCCATAAGAGATTTACTAGATTTCGGAATCGGACGACGGAGACGGGGACGACGACGAACACTCGCCCGAGATGCAACTCGCCAAAGACCTCATCGACGACGACGTCTGGCAAAAGGTGACCGAACTGCCGGAACCGTGTAGAAGAAAAAAAGACGATCACTTTTCTTTGCAATAATTAAAATTTTTAAAGGAAAGAGAAATAAAAGTACGAGAAAAAAATCTTGTGTTTTCAATTCATTATTTTATTTTTATTGATCATCAGCAAGTTCGCACGAGGCGCAAGCATCGCGCGAGGTGATGGCGCCGCATCTGCAAGAACGCATCATCGCCAAGTCGGGTTGCTTGACTGTCAGCCTGACTCCGGCACCGTCGAGGGCCAAGGTCGCCAACCTTCTCGAGTGGCAGTTGTAGCACGCAGGCTCCAGCGTGTTCTCGTCGATGTACATACCTTTGGTCGGAGGGCGGTTCTTGAGGTCGACGTACGTGAGAACTATGTAGCAGTATCTGCATATGACGATGAACTCGGAACCGCTTCCAGGTTCGTACGTCTGATCGTACGCGTACTGCACCTGGGCGCACTTCTCTGCACGAACAGAACGCTCTTCATCTCCGACGCCTCCTCCTCGCTCAAAAGAGAAAGGGCATTGGTCACTCGGACGGTAGAAACCTGCGTTCGCGAACGTCGTTTAGCATGAGGACGCACGCGACAAGACCGGCTGATCTGTCAGGCAGGACGAACAAGAGGTTGAACTCCAAAAACCTGTCGCAAATCCTGCGCATCTGCCTTTCGTGAGGAAGCATGGCGTGCATGGCGTATCGGTGAGAGACACGCTACTAAGGATGTTCGAAGCTACGGTTAAGGATTACTGAAAATTCACGTGGGATGGAATATATCTCGATGCGTATAAATGAAATTGTCATGTTGGGAAATAAATCATTCGAAACCAAAACCTTTTCGTTACCAAGTGTCTTTTACTTTTTTATTGTTTATGTAGTAAAAGGGAGAAAAAGACAAAGGGACACACGGAGAGATGAATAACTTGGACGTACCTCTTCCAGTCTACTGCGCGACGCTATCGTTCGCCTACAACGAATTTGGCATTGTGCTGTTTTTTCCGAATTTTGGAAATGTATTTCGGAAAACGATACTCCGACATGTTCACGATTGACAATAGACACGCCGTGGTCGACAGCGCCGTCAGTATAATGACGACAGTCGGCGTCGTAGTCGTGTCCGCGATGGCCG